GTGTAATTAAATTGTTCTCCTGTTTCTACTCGTACCACCTTGCTTCATGTCATACAGATCCCTCTGAAGGTTCCTCTGAAATTGTCTATTTCATCTTTTCTCGGGGCATAATAACCTTTACATTCATATATCATAATTTGTTCAGTTATTTCCAATAGGTAGGTATCCCCTTACCATTACCACTAGTTCTTTACCACTACGAAAAGTACTATTTTTCTTTTATACATATGGGTCCTTTTTCTCTTTCCTTGATCTCTTTGGGGGTAGAAATCTATCTGAGATAAAGGGCTTATAGAGTTGTTCTTTTGGGATATACTTCCAAACTGATTGCTGGAATGGCTGGACCAATTCCTAGCTCCACCAAAATTCTCCCAACCCCTCCAACATTTATCATCTTTGTCAATCTAAAGCACATGAATGGAACCTCAGAGTTATTTTAAATTATATTTCTCTAATTTTTAGTGATTTGGAATGCATTTTTATATGGTATCTTGGAGTTCTTCTTTTGATAATTTTTTGTTCATATCCTTTGACCATTTATCAATTGAGGAATGGCTCTTATTCTTATAAATTTGAATCCATTCCTTACATATCTTTGAAATGAGACGTTTATCAAAGAAACTTATTTCACGGGTTTCCCCCCAGTAACCTGTTTCCTTTCTAATTTTAACTGCATTAGATTTATTTGTACAAAAACTTTAAAATTTTATATATTCAAAAATTGTCCCTTTTTTGTGATCCTTTTGTTTAAGCATAAACTCTTCTTCTATCTGTATATCTGAAAAGTAATTCTTTCCTTGCTCCTGTATTTCATTTATGTCACCTTTTATGTCTAAGTAATATATCCATTTGGAATTTATCTTGTTATACAGTGTGAAATGTTTTATGCCTAGTTCTGCTAAACTACTTGCCAGGTGTTAGAAAAAAAATTTAGAATCTATTTATATAAGCCCTTATTGCCTGTCCCTCCAGCTGCTTCCCCAGTGGGACAATAAAACAACAGTTTTTGCCAAATAGTGAATCTCTAGCCCTCACTTTTAATACATGACAAGCACACCTTTTCTAGATATACATGTTCTTGATGATTTTCTTCTGCCACTTTACTCACAAGTCATCTTTGGCAACATTCTGCAGCCTACCCATAGCTGCCATGTATCTCCATTCCCATTTGAATGAGTCCCAACTTTAACTTTTCAGATAATGTAGTTATTCCATGACCTACAACTCTGTATAGACAAGAGGCATTCTCTGTGAATGGTGAGGTCCTCCAGATGCTCCTTTGTGTGAAATTTTTTTTACTTTATTTTTTTTGACAAGGAAATTGGAGTTAAGTGACTTGCCCAGAGTCACACAGCTAGTAAGTGTTATGTATCTGAGGTCACATTTGAACTCAGATCCTCCTGACTCCAGAGCCGGTGCTCTATCCATCGAGCCACCTAGCTGTCCCCCTTTGCGTGAAATTGTACTGGTTATTTAATGCATTGGAATATTACAGAACCTTGTAAATGAGATCCATAATCACTGAAAAGAATTTAGCCTATTTGTCTATAAAGGAAAAGCCAAGTGAATGAAGAATGCCTTATTTCAAGATCACAATATGCCATAGGATGAATAACCTATAGAGGTGGTTCATCACTACATACTTCTTGGACAGACATTGCAGATGGACATTAAACTGGTCCCAGAATGAAGCAGAGTGGATTGCCTTTGGAAAATTGCTTAGTTTCTCCTGAAATAAAGGCCCATCTATTTAACATTAAAATTCTTCTGGTGAGGTTATGTGGCTCTAAGCCATAGAATACCTGCCTCTGAAGAATCAAAGTTAAAGATTATTTATGTTTTTAAAAAGATTGTTTTGCAGCAGTAAGCAAGTTGGGATTACTGGAAGTGGTATGCAATTTCCCGAATGTGATTTATCTGAATCCTCCTCCTATGTTGCTGTGGGGACAGCTCATTTGTTTAAGAGGTTTAAAAAAAATTACACACATACATACATGTGTACATGTATATACATATATACTAACTCAATGGATTGTCTAATTGTATGTTATAATTTGGACAGTATGGATTCTTCTTTCACTGTTTTTTTCTGTAAAGGCTGTTGTAAGTGTCTATTTTGAGATTATCTGATAGAGTTCATTGAGAGAGCTGTGTAGTGATCTAGGGCTTGGAACTTTAATTTTGGTCAAAATTACATTAAGAAAGGAAATGTACCTTACACAAATATTTGTCTCTTTAATTTGAAAAAAAAAAATAGCTGTGCTTAGATTTTAATGACATTGCTCTCTTGACAACATCCCTATTACTATTAATTGAATTACCATCCTCCCAGTGGGCCAGACTTACTCTAGGTATCACCCTCAACTTCTTGCCATCATACTGCCCTGCCCCCAACATCCAATAGGTTGCTATGTCCAGTAGCTTCTACCTTCTCTTCTGTCTTCTCTCTTCTAACACTGACTCCACATTGGTGTATCACCTGATTTCTGCACTATTATAATCCGCCTTCTGGTTGGTCTTTCAACTCCAATCCATCATCCTTTCAGCTATCAAAGTGATCTCTCTAAAGCTGGGTGTGGGGAGGAGAAAGGGAAGGGAATACACATTTACAGAGCATCTACTATGTGCCAGGCACTGTGTTAAGTGCTTTACAAACATCTCATTTAATCTTCACAACAACCCTGTGAGATAGATGTTATTATCCCTATTTTTTTTAACAGTTGAGCAAACTAAGTTGCAATGTAGGTCTGATCATGTCACTCCTCTATTCATTAAACTCCAGTGTTTCCCTATCACCTCCAGGATCAAATATAAAATCATTTGGTGTTCAAAACCCTCCCTAATCTGCCCCCTCCCTTTCCAATATTCTACCTTACTTCTGCCTCTTCTCTAACTATTGAGTATTCTTTCTGCAGCATCACCTTTTCTCCCTCATAATTACAAATGTAACTAATTTGTTTAAGGTAAATAAATGTTAGGAATGCAGAAAGATCATATCAGAAACATAACTTAAGTATATTAATTTCAATAGGCAGCACTTTGGGATTTAAAAATTTTTGTGGTTATATCATTGAATTAGTCCAGTTTTGATTGAAGGAAAAATCGTTGTTTTAAATGGTTCTATCATTTCTCATTCATTCTACTAGGATACAAATGTTAACTAGGTTAAAAAAACTGGGGGTTTAAGATACTCTTGCTGTCATTTATGATAACCACCTTTTAACTCCTTGGCATTGTGAGAGATTCTACTATATTATTATATTATATATTTATAATATAGTTAGCCTATATTAATATTATAAATGATCAAACTTAACATTCATGTGTATATGCAGATCATTTGTAACCTCAGAATGCTCATTTAATAAAGGATACAATTTACTGAACTTAAGAATAACATAGAAAGATAGTATCCCTTAGTTGTTTTTTTTTTACAATATAACAGCAGAAAATATCCAAAGAGTGGGAAAAAGTATTCAAGAATGAGTGATTGCTTGTTAATGTAGCAGTTTGTAAAGAAGGCCATCTAAAAAAGATTCTCTACTTCCTTAAAGGGCCAGGAACAAAGAATTGTCTTCTGGGCACACTCAAAAATCAAACTGATGAGCCTTCGGTGAGAGGATGATTCCGGCTTTGTGTTCTCAATGACAAGCCGTGCGGATGCTCAAGTACCTCTAATTTTAAGACCAAAGTAAAGGATGTGGAAAAACAGATCGATACTAATGATCCCAGCAAACTCGAGACAACAGCTGCCTTACTGTCACCCCTTTTCATTCCCTGCTGCTATCCTTTAGATGCATACAGTATTCCATCTATCCTGGTGGGGTTCATCGGATGGTATTCCTCAAATTAAGTCACTGAAACACTCGTGCACGTTGCCTTCACACATGGCTGCGGGGGTAGGGGTGGGGAGCATTTTATCATCTTACTCGGGAAATACCCTCTGAATTGAGCCCATCTCCTCGGCCTTTTCGGGACCCCCCCCTGCTGAGTGTCTCCAGTTCATCCCGGGTCGATCTTGTTGGTACAGGGCTGTGGGTAAGTTTGTCTCCGCCATTAGCCTGGAAGCTCCTCGAGGGCAGGAGCTACCCGTGGCCGTCCTTTTGTGTCCCCACCGCTGAGCTCAACGCCCGGCGCGCCGTGGGCGCTTAATAATTGCTTGCTGCCTGAGTGAATGAGTGAGCGCCCGCTTCCTGGAGGATGGCGGGACGCCTCGCACACTGCCCACGATCCCGACCCCGGGGCCATCGGGCGGTCCGAGGGGCCGCCAGGCATTCCGTGAGCCCCCCGCCCAGCTCGAGCCCGTCTCTGCCCCGGCCCCGCTCCCTCCCTCTCTCCCTCCCTTCCTCTGCCCGAGCCCCTGGGCGCTGCTGGTTTTGGCGCCAATCGGGAGGCGGCGCTGTCCGCAGGGCGTGGGGCGTCGATCCCAGGCTGGCAGGGAGGGAAGGAGGGAGGAAGGGGAAGGCGGAGAGGAGCCGAGCGGGCGAGGCTGCGGCCGGGTCTGCTCCGGAGGAGGAGTAAACGGGAGAGAAGGGGGAGGCGCGCGCTGCTCCCGCCGCCACCGCGTGACCCGCAGGCCCCGGGGCTGAGTGCGAGCGACCCGGCTCGGCGGGCGGCCCGGGGCGGGGGCGGGGACGCGGGGGCCGCGGCGCGGACCGACGGCCTGACGGAGGCGGTGGCGGGCTCCCGCGCCGGGCCCTGACGCCCTCCGCCTCCGTGCACACTGAGCGAGCGGCCTCGGCCCGGCTGCTCTTCCTCGGGCCGACGGAGAGCGGCAGTGTGTCCCCGCGCGGCGCGCGCTCGCTCGCTCGCTCTCTCCTCGTCGCCTGAGCTGCTCGGCTCGGCTCGGCTCTCCCCCCGCGGAGGCTGAGGCTTTTCCTCCCGGCCCCGCCAGCCCCAGCACCGCTCCGGGGAAGGCGGCGGCGACGACGACGGCGGCCGCGGCGGGAGCCGCTTTGTGTGCAGCCCGGAGACGAGAGGCGGCGGCGGCGGCGGCGGCGGCCTCGGCTCCACCTGCCTCCAGCGACCCTAGCGCTCCACGCGCCTCCCGCCCGCATGAGGACGAGGTAAAGGCGGCGGCGGAGGCTTGGCTCCCGCTTCTCGGCAGCTAGGGGGGCCCGGCGGCCCCGGCCGCGGGGGAAGGCCTCTCGGTGCCGCCGGACCGGGCCGGACCGGGCGGGAGCAGCCCAGGAGGTGAGGTTGAGAGCGGCCGCTGAGGCTTCCTCGGCCGAAGTTGAAGGAAGCCCGTGGGCAGCGCGGAGCCGCGGCAGCCGCTTCCTGGGGTGCGGGGTGGGCTCAGTGTCCTTCCTTCTCTCTCCCTCTCGCGGCTCCGGGACGAGGGCGGGGAGCGGCCCGGAGCGGGCTGCAGGGGCTCGCCGCTCCGCCGCCCCGGCCGGCGGCTTCCCCCGGCGCGCGGCCTAAGCCGAGCCCCTTAGGCCTCGGCCTCTCTTTCTCCGGGGAGGCTGTCGCCCCGGTAGGAGACTGGGTCGGCCCGGGGTGGGGGGGATCCCCGAGCCCTCCCCGCCCCACCCCCACCCCCCGGAGCCGCCAGGAACCGCGCGTTGGCTGTTTTCGGTGCGGATTTCATTGTGAGATGGGGACCGAGGAACTCCAGGCGTTGGCCAGGCACTCCTCGGGGCCAAGGAGAGACCCGCGGGGCCCCGAGGAGGGGGAGGAGAGCCTTCTGGGGGAGTTGAGCCCCGGGCTCCGGGAGAGACTACGCCGGTAGGGGAGGGCTGCCCGGGAGGGGGGAGCACCGCCCCGGCGCCCCCTACACCCCCGATCGCCCCCCATGCCGGCCTCCCCGGAGCCTGGGCCCTTTCTGATTTGAGGGTTTTTGAAATGAAAAAGAGGTTAGAAAGTCGTCCATTTCCCGCTGAACTTTTGTTTTCTGACCGATAGAGGCCAGTAGAGGAGCGTGGAAGAAAAGTTGTCCCCCAGGATGGACTTCCCCCCTGCACAGCCCAAGCCGCCCACGGCCCTCTGCGGCGTGGTGAGCTCCGACGGGAAAATCACCTACCCCCCGGGGGTGAAGGAGATCACTGACAAGATCACCAACGACGAGGTGGTCAAGCGGCTCAAGGTACTCCCTGCCACGCCTGTCTGTCGGTCCCGTCCCTCCAGGTTGACAGCTGGGGCTGCTTCTGCCTTCCTGGGCAGAGCACCCCCCTAGACTAGGGGCTGTTTGCTGGTCTTTTGTCGAAAAGACTCTTTAAAAACTGGTAGATAAGACTGTTCTATCATTTGATTGCCTGCTCAAGCTTTTTTTTTTTTAAAAAGATAGTTGAAGATTTATCCTGTTCAAACATTGTTTTTCCCCCAAAGAAAAAAATACTAATCGTGTCTTTTGAAAACTTTGAGTGGTAGGGTCATAGCGTTGCATTGTGGGAAATTTAGAGGATTAAATCTTTCAGGAATGGGGAAAATGTCAGTTTTATCCTGGATAGAAAAAAAATTTTTAAGTGTATGCAAAAGAATTCTTGGGGAGCGGGGGAGGAGGGGGAAGTTGAATGGATGCTAGAGATGAAATTTCAGCCTTAAGGTGTTTTGTAAGTGCAGATTTCTATATTTTTAGAATTTTTTTCATGAAATGATAAGAAAAATGAAAGTTTCTAATTTCCTGTAGGAAAACTAGCCTATGAAATAATTTTGCAAGATTGAATTTGTGCATTCTTTGATGAAACTGTTGATGTTTAGTACTGCTTTTTTAAGATTCAGTTTTGCAACAAGATGTTGTCTTAAGTCCATGAGCTCTGTTTGGTTTTAAGAAAGTTCAACATATTGTATGTTTTTTGACTAATTTGCTCAGTTGGCATGGTGTTTCTCAGGGCAATTTTGTATGCCAGTGTGTTTAATTCTGTCGTGAGGCTATAACCCCTGGTCAGCTTGACATTCATTTTGCAGTTAGCTATGGATGTATGGACACATAATTTGTCATTACTACTGGAAAAATAATTCAGAGCACTTATTGGCAGTTGGTCAGTCTTCATCTTAATGTTGGAAGGATTATACTTTGAGATATATTTCCTCCAGGGAACTTTTTTTTTTTAAACTTTTCATCCACCTGCCATCCATGGAATCTGGAGATGGGTTTTACTAACAGACTTTCAAAGTTCATTCTTCTTAGGGACTGTTTCGGCAGAGGTCCTTGTGTTGTAGCCATAATGGCAAGTAGAGATTCAAAATAGATGTATTAGAAATATACAGTCTGAATTGGAAAGATCCTTAGACACCTCTAGTCTAACCTAGCTGGACTGGATTCCCTTACAAGACCTCCAGTGGGAATGCCATGACTTAGTGAATAGTACCTGGCTTAGTGGATAGTGCCTGCCTTCAGGGAAATATGGGTTCAGATATTACCTCTTAACATTTTACTAACTTTATGATAATGGACAAGTCACAACTTCTCTGAGCCTCAGTTTCCTCATTGGTAATACTAGGATAACTGTAGTACATTCTTCACAAGATTATTCTGAGACTCACCTAATCACGTATGTAAAACAAACTTTTAGGTGTTCAATAAAGCTACATGACAGTCTTCAACCATGGTGTCTTCACACTAACTTGTGCCTCTTGTGATCCTTAATTTTTAGGGTTAAGCTTGGGTGCCACCTCTTCTTTTACAAGGCTTTTTCTGATTTCTCTACTTCACTCCAGTTGTTAGTTTGGACTCACCTCTCTCCTTCCATTACATTGTATTTACTTATCTGTGAACATGTGTTACTACAGGAGTTTTTTGAGGACAAGAACTGTTTTGTTTTTTACTCGATAAACACAATGTCTTTTACATACTAGGCATTTAATAAATGCTTGTTGAATTGAATTGCAAATATGGGTAAAAATGTGAGCAAAGGTATGGATGTGAGAGGGCAATATGTGTTGATGGAGCTAAATAGATTTTACTTTGACTGAACGTAGGTTGGTAATATTAGATAAGTGGTATAGTGAGTGAGATTAGTTTTAGTATTTGATTTTTTTGTAATGCTGAGCAACTCTGTAGCAGAAGTGGAGGACTCTATCCCCCTCCCAAGTTGGGAACAACAGAAAGTCAAGGAAAAAAGAAATTCCAAGGTGTTCATAGTGTAAATATCAAGTGGTGGATAGTGCTGTAAGGGCTCTGTATAGGGAAGCTGTAGTGGGGATGATGGAATGGATGGGGAATAGGGATGAGTCAAAGGCCTTGAGGTCAGTAATTATTCAATAAGAGTAAGAAGAGTAGAAATGGAAAGATGAGAGGTTGTATTTGACCATGGGAATTTCAGTTTCAGAGATGTTACCTGGAAATTATTGGAATGTCTGGTGGTGAGTTTTGTTCCATTTTTTTTTTTTTTGGTATTATGAAATTTACAAATGACAAGCATAAACATATAAAAGAATAGAATAGATTGTATATGAAGCCATGAATCTCTAATATGTATGTATAAGCAATTTTAGTATGTAATTTAAAGTGGTCGTTCCAACACTACTGTGCTTGTCTATGTCCCCATTTTAAACTCTTGGTAACATCTGTGTATTTTTGAAATGTTTCTTTGATGAACTTTATTATTTATTTTTTCCTGGCCTCACAATCTCCTAATATTTTATAAGGTCCTAGCAATTGACTAACACAAAAAGTCTAAGAGTAGGGAAAAAAAAACAACAAAGACTGAGGCCAAAACTAATTCCCTGGTGCATAAATTCATAAGTAGACTAGGCCAGGTCCTTTATTTACCCCTTTCCTCCAGCATCTGTCAGGATGATGGTGGAACTTTTCCCACAAATTCTTCTTTTCCTTTCTTTCTTTCTTTCTTTCTGTCTCTCTCTTTCTCTTTTTTTACACAAATGTTTTATCTCATCCTTCCACTTTCCTCTCCCCCAATTGAAAAATAAAAACAAAAACAAAACCCTTATAACAAATATACATAATCCAACAAAATAAATTCCCACTTTTGCCATGTCCAAAAATTTATTTCTCCTTTTTCATTTTAAGTTCATCACCTCTTTGGTATGAAGTGGATAGGTTGTTTCTTCTTGCATTGATCAGATTCTGGTCTTTCAAAGTTAAGTTGTCTTTATAATGTTGTTGTTGTATAAATTTTTCTATTTCTGCTCACTTCGATCTGAATCACTCCGTAGAGGTTGTCTCAATTTCTTCTGAAACTGTCCATTCTATCATTTCTTATGGCACAGTAGGATTCCATAATATTGATATGCCATAATTTATTTTGCCCTTCTCCAGTAGGTGGGTACTCCCATAATTTCTAGTTTTTGACTACTACAAAAAGAACTGCTATCCATATTTTTGTACATGTGGATCTTTTTCCTCTTTCTTTGATCTCTGTGGTGTAAGCCTAATAGTGATACGGCTGCATCTTCCTTGTTTTCTTGCATATTTTCCTTTTCCCCTTCATTCCAGTTCCAAGTCTTTAGCTGTCTGTAGAAATTTACCCCTTAAACATCCTGCTGTCACATCAGACTCTACTTGCCTAAACAAAATTAGCCATTTCATCTTGAAACCCAAATTCTCTCTGTGCCATTACAGTTTTAGTAAATTCCTCAGCTTTTAATTTCAGACTTAATTTCAACTTTAATTTCAGACTTTTTCATCTCCCTCCCTCTATGTTCTCTGTATCTAGTAAGTCAACTAAAGGCTTATTTTTTTTTCCTTTTAAGATCTCTCAGATTCTTCTCTTTCTCATTATTCCTACTGCTACTACTTTAGACTCTCATTAATAAATTCATAGCTGATCTATCATATGTCTAGTTTCACCTCACCTCTGCATACCCCTAATGAGATTAATTTTCTTAAAACATAATTTCTATCATGCTACTCCCTTGCTTAAGAACTTACTGTTTTTAAATCCCAGTTTGTAGGTCGTGAATGCCTGTCACGCCATCAGATTTTTGCTAGTGGTCAACTCATTAAGTTATTCAGTATAATTAGCAAGTATACCTTCTGTAGACTGTGTCTGATATACATATTGTTATGTTTCAGATGTTCAAAAATACTGTGATGAATAAAATACAAATTCATTTAAATATTACTGAATATATATTTGCTTTTTGTCATTATTTTCGAAGTCAAAAGATTCAAGTAATTAAACTTCTTTCTTATGTGGTATGGTCTTTGAAATTTGTTGGCTGTGAAAAGGGTCCTCATACATGAGAAGATAGGGAATTTGTGGTCTTGATCAAACCTGCTTCTCAAGTTGGCACCTAAAGTTCTGTTTTTCTCTTTACTCCCTAACAAAGATGTCCTTGCTGTTTGTCATTTATGTCATAAATATCAATCAAAAAGTGTTTATTAAGTATTAATTGTTAGTTTGTGTATCGGGTACTGTGCTAATCACTGGGGATACAAAGAAAAAGCAAAAACAGTCAGTGACTTTACATCCTAATAGGGGAAAAAATGGGAAGAAAACATACATCTGAAGATATAAGACAAATATGGAATAAATGGAAAGTAACCTTAGAGTGGATGGCATTAGCATCTGGGGAGACTAGGAAAGGCCTGCTAGAGAAGGTGGTGCTTGAGCTTAGTCTTTAAGTGAAGCCAGAGATTCTAAGAGATGTAGATAAGGAGAGAGAACATTCCAGCCATGGATGGGGAATAGCTAGTACAGGGACTAAAATGGGAGATAGAGGGTCTTGGTCAAGGAACAGTAAGTAGGACACTAGAATGTATTATTAATTGGAAGGGTAGGAAGGGGCAGTGTTAAAGAACTTTAAATGCCAAATACAGTTTATAGGAGGTTATAGGAAGCCACCAGAGTTTATTGAGTATTGGAGGTGGAAGGTTAACACAGACTGACCTAGGCTTTAGCAAAATCATTCTGGCAACTGAATAGAAGGTACGTAAAGGCTGTGCTTATTGGCATCTGAAACCTATCATGTCTGACACAGAACTATCTTTCCTGTTAAACCTACCCCTCTTCTGAATTTTCCTATTTTCAAAGCACCACCATTCTTAGTTACCCAAATTTACTACCTTGATGTTATCCTTGACTCCTCTTTTCCTTTCCCCATATATCCACTCAGTTGTAACTTCTTGTCCTATCTACTTAAACATTTGTCTTCTCTCCACTCAAAGAGCTTCCACATCAC